CTCTCCTTGGGCAACTGGCTCACTTCGGGTCTAGGTTGTCACCCTCCCTCCTGCCTCGGTGCCTCACTGCGAGGAGAGAGAGTTGGCTGTGTGGAGCCCTGCACTGCAGGGGAGGGCATGGGGAAGACCGGGGTCCGGGGTCAGGGAGCCTGGCCTGCCGCACAGGGGCCCCCGTCCTGGACTAGAATGCCAGAGCCAGGCACTGCCCAGCCACCAGGAGCTGCTCACTCCCGATGGGAGATTGTGTTTCTGAGGGCAGGGAAGAGGAAAAGGTTCCCCACGGCCCTCCCTTCTCAGTCACCCCCACCCTAGCCTACGCCATCTTCTCGGAACGATCTCGAAGGATGTGCTTAGTCGCCAGGACTTAGGGCCTATGGAGGGAGATCCTGAAATTCCGCCACAAGACGCTCGCACCTGCCACCCCTCATGGGGCAAGGGGCTCACCAGGTCTTCTCAGAGCAGGAGAAAAGCACAGGCCGGGTCCTAGGGAAGGGGGTGACCGTGATCCAGGGTGGAAATCCCTGTGGAGAGGCCGTCACAGGTGGGGTCTGGAACCAGCACGCCCTCCTGAGATGGGGAGAGGGCTCTGGCCCACCCACCGCCCATGTGCAAACCCTCAGCCCAGGGAGACTCGCTCGCCCACCCAGCAGGCCTTCCCGAGACGGCACCGTGGACCAAGGACACAGCTCAGAGTAAATACACCGTGTCCCTGCCCTCCAGTAACCTGGCAGTAGGTGAGGCGTGTTAATCTCAGAAATAAATGAGCTCCATAAAGAAAAATGAGTAGCGAAGAAGTGGGCATTGCTTGAGTGGGCGGCAGGGGTGGCCGGGGCCACTGAGCTTCCCCCTGAATGATGAGTGGGGAGAGGGGGCTGAAGGGAGGCCCCCAGACCCACTGACCACGCCCACACCCCAGGGCCTGTGATGGGACCGTATTTGGAAATCGATGTCATTGCAGATGTACTGGGTTAAGGATCCAGAGATGAGACTGTCCCGGATTTAGAAGAATCCTACATCCAATGACAAGCATCCTATACATAAGAGAGAGAGAGGAGAGACGTGAGCTCAGAGAGGGGAGGGAGACGTGAGCTCAGAGAGTGGGAGACGTGAGCTCAGAGAGAGGGGAGGGAGACATGAGCTGAGAGATGGGGGAGGGAGACGTGAGCTCAGAGAGGGGAGGGAGACGTGAGCTCAGAGAGTGGGAGACGTGAGCTCAGAGAGAGGGGAGGGAGACATGAGCTGAGAGATGGGGGAGGGATACGTGAGCTCAGAGAGGGGGGAGGGAGATGTGAGCTCAGAGAGAGGGAGACGTGAGCTCAGAGAGAGGGGAGGGAGACATGAGCTGAGAGATGGGGGAGGGATACGTGAGCTCAGAGAGGGGGGAGGGAGATGTGAGCTCAGAGAGAGGGAGACGTGAGCTCAGAGAGGGGGGAGGGAGATGTGAGCTCAGAGAGAGGGGAGGGAGACGTGAGCTCAGAGACGGGGGAGGGAGACGTGAGCTCAGAGATGGGGGAGGGAGATGTGAGCTCAGAGATGGGGGAGGGAGATGTGAGCTCAGAGAGAGGGGAGGGAGATGTGACCTCAGAGAGAGGGGAGGGAGACGTGAGCTGAGAGAGAGGGGAGGGAGACGTGAGCTGAGAGAGAGGGGAGGGAGACGTGAGCTCAGACATGGGGGAGGGAGATGTGAGCTCAGACATGGGGGAGGGAGACGTGAGCTCAGAGAGAGGGGAGGGAGACGTGAGCTCAGAGAGAGGGGAGGGAGACGTGAGCTCAGACGAAGGAAGACGTGAGGCATCAGAGAGAGGGGAGGGAGACGTGAGCTCAGAGACGGGGGAGGGAGACGTGAGCTCAGAGAGAGGGGAGGGAGAGGTGAGCTCAGAGATGGGGGAGGGAGAGGTAAGCTCAGAGAGGGAGGCCACGGAAGGCAGTGGCCGAGGCTGGAGAATGCGCCACAGGCCCAGAACCACAGGCAGCGGCAGAGGCAGAGGCCTGGAGTTGGGGGCACTCTCGCTCCACGCCTCCAAGAGCCCAGCCAGCACGCCTCGACCTCAGCCCTCCGGCCTCCGGAACAGAGGGAAGGCGAGGTTCTGTCGATTCTGGTGGCCCCATGTGTGCCGTGCTGGACGGCAGTCGCAGGAAACAGATTTGAGAGAAAGAGGCAGCTGTGGGCGAGGGTTCCGGGCAGAAGGAGGAGTAGGTGCAAAGGCCCTGGGGCAGGGGCGGTGTCAGGGCTGGAGGCTGAGGGATGGACCCACAAATCCGGTACAACTTCCAGTGCAGAGGAGGCCCCTGCAGGTTCCCAGGCAAAGAAACAATGCTGGAGGCCTTTGTGTGAGGTGAGATGCAGTGTGGCCAACAAAGCAAGAACAAGATGAGGACAAACAGGCTGAGATGCAGGGCAGGGGTGGCACAAACCCCCACAGACCCAACCCTACAGACCATCCCCTAACCATCCCCCGCAAGTCCATCCCCCACAAGTCCATCCCCCACAAGTCCATCCCCCACTGGGAAGGGTGCCGGGGGACAGGCCACAGCTGCTCCCAAGAAGACGCCAAAGGCAGGAAGGAAGTGTCGGTGCAGACAACAGAGCATTGGAAAAAGCCACAGAGTCGTTTTCTAGAACTGCGGGCGGGTGGGAGGCGTTCGTGCCCATAGCGGCTCCCCGTGAGGCTTCAGCAGATCTGGCTTCATGGAAAGGACCGTGAGGAGACACTCCCTCCCCCCCAGCTGAGCCCACACCCTCAGAACTTCTGCGGGAAAACGGTTTATGAGCTGCGTGTGACCAGGTGGCCGCAGCTCAGGGCTCGGAAGGGGCTCTGCCCTGCGGTTCTGAAGCCCAGCAGCTGTGTTAATTGCCTCGTAACGTGGCTGCGTGTTGCTGTATGAAAACAATCGGCATCCAGGCACTGTCCTCTGTCCACAAGCTGAGATTTGATTACTTTTTTATCTCTAAATTAAATTCCTTCTCGTGCCTGTCTCGTTACATTAAATCTCTTTAAATCTTAATAGACTGCAGCTCAGGCCCCTGATAACAGCATCTGGTACTCACGGGGCCCTGGGCCTCAAGGCAAGGACGAGGGAAGGGGATGGCCAGCGAGGCAGCTGGCTCCAGGCACCTGGACGCTGAGGCAGAGGAGAGAGGGTCCTGGGACCCAGGGAGGGTTCCTGCTCCTCAGAACTGCTGCAGACACCAGCAACAACCTTCGAGGGGCCTCCCAGGGCAGGAAGAGCACCAGCAACTGCAGAAACGGTTGCCGGGCTCCTCCCCACTCCCCAGGCTCCTCCCCCCCGCTTCCAGACCCAGCTCCAATCTTGCGGGAAGCCCCCGCCCCCGCCCCCGCCCCGGCCCCACCTGGGCTCAGTGCAGCCAGGCCAACCCCAGCTCCACCCTCCACACGCAGGGCCACAAAAGGCCTTGGCGCTCCTCTGCCTGCACCAAGTTTTGGCCTTTCCCTGACACTGTCTCGCCAGGGAGTGGGGGTCTCAGGCCTGCGGCGGGCAGGGGAGTGGGGGTCTCAGGCCTGCGGCGGGCAGGGGAGTGGGGGTCTCAGGCCTGCGGCGGGCAGGGGAGTGGGGGTCTTAGGCCTGCGGCGGGCAGGAGGGCACAGCCGCGGGCCGGTGGGAGACGCAGTGGCTGACAGAAAGTGTCGCTCTGGCAGGTGACGGGACTGGGACTGGGGAGGGCTTGCCCCTCAGCTCTCACCCACGCACTCTTCCGAAATTGTACTGCGTCAGTGACAATCACGGGCCGCCTATCACAGGTGCGCGGATGGGGCCCGTAACACAGCCTGTGTTCATCTTCTGAAACCAAAGACCCCACGCTCCCCGTCACTAAAGGGCTCCGGGGAGGCACAAATGGCCCCTGGTGGCCGCTGTGGTGACTGTGGCCTCGGGGCCTCCTTACGGCACCTGGGCCAGGTTAACCACCCTGTAAGCCGCACAGAGCACCAGGGGCCACGTGAGCTGAGCTGGAGCTGGGGACTCAGGAGGTGCCGTTGCCCCGGCTCACAGGCATGTCCCTACTCAAGGCCCCCACGAGCTGTCACAAAAGCAGGAGGAGGCGCCAGGGAGAGGAGGGGCTGGGCTGGAGATCCACAGCCGGCCGAGGGCACGGGTGAGGGCAAGGCCCTGTCCACCCAGCAAGGGCGGCCCTGCAGCCTCTGGCTCACTTCCCCGTGCCCAGGGCTGCTGCCTCCAGTTTCAGGACGAGCCACGTCACCTGGCTTAGGTGAAAGTAATTCTGTGTAACCACAGACTGAAAAAGAGGAGGACGGCTGTGAGGAGAGAATTTTGGTTACGGGGTCCCAAGGCCCCCTGTTCAGCTGAGTCCGCTCCTGACCCTCCCGTGTCCAGGCCCTAACACAGCTGTCGCTCCTGTCTGCTCATGAAGGGCCTCGTATGGGAACACGGTGCTCCCTGTTTCTCCAGCTGCAAATTCACGCCTGCTCCCGCTCTGAGGAGAAGAAAGGCAGATGGGAGATGTGTGACAGGTGCCTTCCAAAGCTGTGTGTGACGGGCGCACTCAAGCACAGCCGGACGTGGTCGGGGATGCAGCCACACCGGGATTTGCTTTTGAGAAATCCTCCTTAATGCTTGCTCAGAACTCTGGGATCATTATTTCGTTATTTGCCTATTCTTGCCTTTTGCTATTTCAGAGTGAAACGCATTATCCTAAGGAGCTCCCTTTTTGAGGGAAGAAAAAGGAAAGAGGTACCGATTTCAATGTTACGGAGGGAAATTTGGGGAAACAGAACGCCAGGCGCTGCCCAGGATGAGGGTCCAGCGAGAGCAGGTGGCTGCAGCTGACAGCAAAAGACCCCCAAGCTCCGCCATCCAAGCACGTGCACCACCCGGCGGACGAAACGCAGCCGAGATGACAGCAAATAAGTACAGTTCATTCACCAGACCCCAAACGCCGCCACTGGAACACAGACACCCAACAGGCCAGACAAAACGCCGCTCCGGACGCCCAGACAAAACGCCGCTCCGGACGCCCAGACAAAACGCCGCTCCGGACGCCCAGACAAAACGCCGCTCCGGACGCCTCGTGGGACCATCTCCCCGCACTGGGCCCGGTGTCACCCTCTCCAACACTGGGGGTGGCTGCAGGTGACAGAGACCCGAAGAACAGTCACCTCCACAAGAGGCGTTTGCTCTCCTTCCCCCGAGAGCAGAGCCCGAGGGCCCAGGGCCACCAAGATGAGTCCACTCCTCCAAGTCTCAGGCTCTGGGCACCCTCGATCTGCCACCCCGCTCTCCCCGGGGACCCTCGATCCGCCACCCCGCTCTCCCCGGGGACCCTCCAGCCACCCCACTCTCCCCAGGGACCATCTGGTCACCCCGCTCTCCCCAGGGACCCTCGATCCGCCACCCCACTCTCTGTGGGGACCCTCCAGCCACCCCGCTCTCCCCAGGGACCATCTGGCCACCCTGCTTTTCCCGGGGACCCTCTGCCACCCCGCTTTCCCCAGGGTTCTGGCACAGCCCATGGGGGCTGCCCCGCATCTGCCTCCATCTGCAGGGGGGCCCCCCCAACCCTACCTCAAACGCTTGCTGGGCCGACTGCACCACCGCCCCAGAGCTTGCTAGAGCACGAAGCCAGCCCAGAAGAAAGAAGAAAGCCAGGAGAGGGAGAACAGCAGACTCCAGACATCGTGGGAACGCCCGGACCGCGCTGCGCCTGGGGCCTGTTACCATCACTCTCATCTCAGCTCCTCTTAGCAAGTCGCCTGTTTCTTTGTTTTTTCTTTGTTTTTGTTTTTGTTTTTTGTTTTTGTTTTTGTTTTTTGTGCTTAAACCACTTTGAGGTGTGCTCTGTCCCTGTGATTAGACACCTGGCAGATTGTCAAAGCTGCGTGACGTCAGGGCTGTGATGCCTCTGTAGCAAGGTGAAGTCCTCAAGTTTCTATGAGCTCAGATCCTCCGCGTGGGCCCCAGAGCGTGGGGGCCACAGGGCCAAGAAGGTGCCTCAGCGTCAGACAACCCTGGAGCCAGCAGACGGCGCCCAGCAGCAGGTACCCCGGGGACCTACTGACTCCAGCCTGGTCTGCGACCCTCACTGAAGACACTCTTACCTGTAGGAAGGTGCCGGGGACCTGTATGACAAACCTCCCACTGGCCTGGGCTCCAGGAACCACGTGCGGTGCTGAAGTTCAGGCGGCATATCCCACCGGACCGTCTTCACTGCCATGGCAGCAGCTAACCTAGACTGGCTTAAGTAGAAAAGGAAATTTGTTGATTAGGTCAGACAAATCAACACCGGTGGGCTCAAGGAGTGCTGAACACAGGGCCTGGTGTACCTGGGAGGACGCCCACCTCCCCGGCCGTGCTCTGCTCTCCCAGTTCCAGTTTCAAACAAGCTGCCCCCATGGGGCAAGACGGCGGCAGGGGTCACAGCCAAACCCTCCTGGAAGTGGCTGCAGCCCAGGGTCACCCATCAGTCTGTGTGTTTGGGAAGAGGCAAGGCTCTGGCCAGGTCAAGAGCAGAGCATGAGGCCCCTCAAAGCACCGACTGGAAAATGGAAAGGGGCTCAGTTCTCAGAGTGACAGAGATACAGAGACTGCGAGACAGCGTCACGCAAATGGACGGGGGCTGGGTCATCCTCAGGGCAGACAGGCACCAACTCACCGGGGAACCACCCTGGAAACATGGGAGGTGGGACTCAGAGCCAGAGGCGGGGACCGAACCTCCAGACCAGACGGAGGACTGACAAAACAAGGAGAGGCGAAAGCACCTCCACAAGAGATAGGCCACCAGGGCTGGGTCCGTTTACTGTTGGGCGACCGCACCTTTCCACAGCAACAACCCCACAACCCAGGAGTTACCACCTTTTCTGGAAATGTCTGCCTAACCTGCCCCTTCATCTGCACAAAATTCAGTGTGGGTATAAATGAGGCTGCAGAACTGCCCTGCGCGGCTGCCCTCGGCGCCCTGCCTGTGGGGGGCCTGTGACCCTGCGCCTCTGTAAAGCTGCTTCTCCCACCACCAGCTGACTCTTGAATTCATTCCTGAGCAAAACCAAGAAACCTCCCGGGCTGAACCCCAATTTGGGGCTCCCCATTCTGCATCACTGGGGGAGAATGAAGGAGAAAGCTGAGTCACCTGGGGGAGACCAAGGGTCAGTCATCCAAGAGAGAATGGGTGCTGAGTCACCCGGGACAGTGGATGCCGAGTCACCCAAGAGACAGTGGACACCGAGTCACCCCGGACAGTGGACACCGAGTCACCCCGGACAGTGGACACCGAGTCACCCGGGACAGTGGACGCCGAGTCACCCAAGAGACAGTGGACTCCGAGTCACCCCGGACAGTGGACACCAAGTCACCCCGGACAGTGGACGCCGAGTCACCCAAGAGACAGTGGACACCGAGTCACCCCGGACAGTGGACACCGAGTCACCCCGGACAGTGGACGCCGAGTCACCCCAGAGACCGTGGATGCCGAGTCACCCCAGAGACAGCGGACACCAAGTCACCCGGGACAGTGGACACCAAGTCACCCCGGACAGTGGATGCCGAGTCACCCCAGAGACCGTGGATGCCGAGTCACCCCAGAGACAGCGGACACCAAGTCACCCGGGACAGTGGACACCGAGTCACCCGGGACAGTGGGTGCCGAGTCACCCTTGGGACAACCATTGCCGAACAACAAAATACTGCCAGCTCCCTCCTGTCACTGGGTCTGTTGCTGCTGTGACATCACGTCACCAGCACCGCGACAGCTCAGAACAACAGCCACGTGTTCCTCACAGTTCTGGGGGCTGGACGTCTTCCCCCCGCAGGCCCTGGGCGGGAGCCTTCTTTGCCTCTGTCGGCCTCAGGGGCCTGCTGGCTGCCTTTGGCATCCCCAGGCTTGTGACTACTCCCTCACCAGTGACCTCACCCTCCCCCATGACTGCATCCTCCCCCATGATCACACCCTCCCCCGTGACCTCACCCTCCGCCAGACCACGCCCTCCCCTGTGACCTCACCCTCCACCGTGACTGCGCCCTCCCCCAGGACCAATCCCTCTGCGGTGACCACACCCTCCCCCGTGATCTCACCCTCCGCCAGACCGCACCCTCCCCTGTGACCTCACCCTCCCCCATGACCGCGCCCTCCCCCATGACCTCTCCCTCCCTCGTGACCTCTCCCTCCCCCATGACCAATCCCTCCGCGGTGACCACGCCCTCCCCGTGACCTCACCCTCCGCCGGACCACGCCCTCCCCTGTGGCCTTGTTTTCTGCTGAGTGGTGGAATCTCCCTCCCCCTCTCTTGTGATTGACTTTAGGGCTCACCTGGATGATCCAGGACAATCTTCCACATCGAGCTTCTTAATGTATTCACATCTGCTGACTCGTTTTTCCTCCTAAGGCCACAGTCACAGGCTCCACAGATCAGGACCTGAGGTCTGCAGAGGCCATCACTGGCCTCCCACAGGGACCCGCACCGGAGGTGCTGCTGACCAGCTCTGACCGGCACATTGCAACCTGGGAGCCGCTTCGCTGTTCGTGGCCTGCAGTGCATCCTGAACTCCATCCTTCCAGCGTTCTATACGCAGACACACACAGGCACACAGACATGCCAGCAAACCCATATGCATGTGTACATACACACGTATGCACATATACACTTCCAAACACACTTATACACATGCACGCACACACACACACGCCAGCAAACCCATATGCATATGTACACACACACATATGCACACACACGAATACACTTCCAAACATTTACTTATACACATGCAAGCCCAGGTACATGCAAATACATGTGGACACATGTAAACATGTCACACACACGCGTGCACAGCATGCTCATATGCACACATGTACACACGCACAGAGCTGGACACATGTAAACACGTCACACACATGCGTGCACAGCATGCTCATATGCACACATGTACACACATGCACAGATAGAGCTGTACACGTCAGACATGAACACATACATGTACACATCTACATACTTACACAGTTGCAAATGCACATGCACATACATGTGCTTCATGTGTGTATGCATAGATACATGTGAGCATGTACATATACTCATGCACACACATGAAATCACACATATATACACATAGACATGCATGGATTGTGAACATATACACATGTGTGCATGTATGTGCACATATGCACCTGTGCATGTATGCAGGTACACACATACATGCACACACAAACATGCACATATGCACACATGTACACATACACACATGTGAACTTAAACACACACAAAACACACACACCCCTGGTGCTTTCTGGGATTGCCTCCCAGTAAGCTACAAACACATAGGCCCTTGTCTCATGCTTTCTGGGAGAGCCCCAGCCAGTGCCAGGGAAGCTTGTTCCCCCCACACCTCCCCCGGGCCCCATGGGTCACCTGCTCACTCTGACCCACCGACCCGGCTGGGGGAAGAACCTGCTCACTGGCCAGTCCAGGTCGTTGGCCCTGTAGAGCGAGGGGTGGAGCCAGCACCTTCCGGGCCACAGATGCAGCCTGCGGGGTGGGAGGTTCCCGGAGGAAGACCCAGGACCCTGTTACCGAAGGAAGGATCCGAGGATGCCAGGAGGCAAAATAAGAGACGTCCAAGTAGAGGCTGGGTGTGCAGGGAGACCCCAGTAGGCTGGACCTACTCCTGCATGTTCCACAGACATGGCATCTCAGGGACGCCAGTGCCCTGGGACCCACATCGTCCTGGCTTTGAGGGTTCTGTGGCTCCATACGTGAAAGAAACGAGCACCAATGAGCATGATACACTCATCCCTAATTTGCCTGATGGCTGGTCCCGCAGCCAGCTGTGGCTGGTCGCCCACCACCTGTCCCCCGGACCAGCACACCCACGTCCAGTGACGCAGTGGTGGGCTCCCCCAGAACGTGCAGGCAGTTCACATATGCGTAATCCAAAATGCACACGTTCACAAAAACAGGAGCGGCACGGCAGGTGTGACTCTCCGCCGAGCAGAGGAAGCCCGAGAAGGGCCCAGTGCCTCTACCGCCAGCTGAACGTGAAGGCAGGGAAGCGCCGGGGGCTGGGACCTGAAGTGCGCGGCCACGCTGCCTCCGCGTCGTGCTGAAGCCAGTCCTGGGTAAGCGCGTGCGGGAGAGAAACACAGTGACCTGGACCTTGGGCCCTTCACAGCTCTGGAGTCACCCACGTTTCCTTAACGTCCAAATGAGGCGGCCCGGGTGCCCGCCCCACCTGCCGGGAGGACCCGGCAAATCCCGCAGCCTGTGCAGAAGCCGAAGGGCCCAGCCCCCTCTCCTGCCTCGTCTGTGGGTCTGTGGGACGTTCTCCTTCCATCTGGCTCCCCCAGGACAGGGAACGGCCCCGCAGCACTGCTGAGACCGGGAGGTTGCAGCAGGAAACCGACCAAACGTCTTCAGGAAACGAGCGGGTGAGCAGCTCCGCGGCACGTGAGGCAGCAGGAGACTCACGGGGGTCTTCGCGTCCCACCCCTCCACAGACCCTGGCTCTCCGGGGACCCAGTCCCTCCCTCCAGCAGCGAGGCCTTCTCCTGCAGCGACCCCCATGGGCTTGGGACAGCCCCACTGAGGAGACAGGCCATTTCTCTTACCATCTCGTCTCTGAAGAGAAGGAGGAAGTAAAAGCTGAAAAACAGGAATGAAGTCAGTGGCAAGACCAGCTGGTGCCACTGATGACCAGGCCTGAGGTTAAAAGATTAATCCCCCACTGTAATCACCTCCCGCTGTAGCCACCCCCTGCTGTAACCACCCCCCACTGAAAACACCCCCCACTGTAACCACCCCCAACTGTAACCACCACCTACTGTAACCACCCTCCAACCACCCCCCACTGTAACCATCCTCCAACCACCCCCCACTGTAACCACCCCCCACTGTAACCACCCCCCACTGTAACCACCCCCCAACCACCCCCCACTGTAACCACCCCCCACTGTAACCACCCCCCACTGTAACCACCCCCCACTGTAACCACCCCCCACTGTAACCACCCCCCGCTGTAACTACATGTGCTCTCAACCTATCACAACCCTTTCACGTGGGACCCCTTGGGGGTGGGGCCGCTGTAAACAGGGCTGGCTCACTCTCTGCTGGAGGCTGGGGCCTGCTTTTCTCTCCGGGTCTCTCCATGGGCTGCTTTCTAGGAGCCCCGAGCAGAAGCTGCATCACCTGGAAAGTCTAGTTTTGCTCCCACCAAAATCCCAAATCCCCCCAGTTTCACAGGGGACACAGGCCCCACCCCTTCTCAGGAGGGTCCTCTCGCAGGAGAACCTGAGTAGGGGGCTGTTGCGTTATCTTGAAAATCCAGAATCTGCCACTCAGTCACCACTTGATGAATGAATGGACGAGTGAATGAACGAGCTGGTGGAGAAGACGTCAAATCACCACCGGAGGAGGGGCCGCCCCTGCAGGAGGAGGCTGGGCTGTCCAAGCCAGACTGGTCCCAATCCACTCATACACCCGCGTACTCACACACCCACCCACCCATCCAAACACACATCCACTCATCCACCATTTGCCCATCCATCAACCCATCTAGGCATTCACCTATCCCCCACCCACCCATTCATCCAGTCACCCACCCATTCATCCAATAACCCACCCATTCATCCACCAACCAATCCATCCATCTGTCCACCCACCGACCCATTCATCCACCAACTGATCCATTCACCCACCACCCCCATCCAAACACACATCCACTATCCACCATTCGACCATCCATCAAACCATCTAGGCATTCACCTATCCCCCACCCACCCATTCATCCACCAACCAATCCATCCATCTGTCCACCCACCCACCCCATTCATCCACCAGCTGATCCATTCATCCACCCACCCACCTCCCCCATCCAAACACACATCCACTATCCACCATTCGACCATCCATCAAACCACCTAGGAATTCACCTATCCCCCACCCACCCATCCACCCATTCATTCATCCACCCCCCCACCCATCTATCTATCCACACACCCATCCACTCATCCACCATCCATCCACCCATTTATCCACCTAGCCATTCACCCGTACACCTACCCACCCACCTAATCACTCACCCATTCATCCACCCACCCATCCACCCATCTATCCATCCACACGCCCATCCTCCTGTCTACACACCCATCCACTCATCCAAACACCCATCCACTCATCCACCATCCACCCATCCATCAGCCCATCTAGGCGTTCACCTGTACACCTACCCACCCACATATCCACCCACCCATCCATCCACCCACCCACCCATTCATCTAATAACCCACCCATCCATCCATTCACACACCCATCCACCCTATCACTCATTCATCTATCCATCCACCCATCCACCCACCCCTTCACCTCCCACCCACCCACCCATCTATCCTTATTTACTGAGTGTCCACTGGACACCTGCTGTGTGACTGTTCTCCATCCTGAGACAATTGCTCCCTCCCAGGCAGAAAACCTGTGTTCTCATGGGCCTTATATGTGAGTAGGGGTGGCCAGGGAGATGAAAGGTGTGGGGGGGGCTCTGCCAACTGTGGGAGGGGACAGACATCTGAGGAGAGCTGACGTCCAGCGAGGGTCCCATCCCCAGCTGCCCAGGTGAGGACCAACGTCACAGACACATTTTCCTGCGTGGCCGGGCAGCTGTGGCCTCAGGGGGCTGGAGAAGGCCTGATGTGGCCTCACAGGCTGCAACCCAAGCCCCTGCCTCCACCTCCCCTGCTTGTGGGGGGTGGGCAGTGAGGAGCCAGGGCCACTGCGGGGGTCTGAAAGGATGTCCATGCTGAGCACGCACCGGCCAGCTTTGAATTTCAGGTGACAGGAGATTTGCTTGTGTGTGTTTTATCTTTTGCCCAGTGATCAATAAAATGTAATTAATTTTAAAAGAAGACCACTGGTCTGTTCTGCACACTTGGTAAACGTGGGAGGCGTCTGCATCGCAGCCGTGGAGGCAGGAGGGAGGAGGGACACGCAGGAGGCCCTGCCAGGCGGCTGAGGAGGAGACGAGGGGACCGCAGGAGGGAGGAGGGACACGCAGGAGGGAGGAGGGACACGCAGGAGGGAGGAGGGACACGCAGGAGGGAGGAGGGACATGCAGGAGGGACGAGGGACACGCAGGAGGCCCTGCCAGGCAGCCGAGGAGGAGACGAGGGGACCCCCAGCGTCCTCCTTCCCAGGAGCAGCTTCTCCTCGGACAAGAAAGTGAATTCGTCACGGAAGTGGCATCTGGGAGGAATCACAGCCCTCAGGCCAGAGACCAGGACATCTGTGAGGTCAGGGAAGGCCCAGGAGCCGCAGGACCAGGGGCACAGTGTGGAGCCTGCAGAGGAGCAGGTGGTGTGAGGCGTGGGAGGAGGGCTCCGGCCCTGCACTCACGGTGATGCTGCGGGACCGGCTGCTGGACTCTGGGACGGAGAGGGGGCGGGAGGTGCTGAGGTGCAGCCAGAGGGGGAGCATCATTGGCCCGGGGGACCCCAGGCAGCCGCTGGAACTGCCGTGGAGCCCAGGAGCCCTGTGGGGCAAGGCAGGGGTTCCAGGAGGCGGCCAGGGACCCTGCTGCATTCCAGGATCTCAGGGAGCGACCCAAGCAGGAGGCCCGCCTCATGAAGCCATCAGGGTAAACAAACAGCATTTAAAGGCAACGGAACCCTTGAGTTGAGGGCACCTGGCCCTGGTGTGGAGATGTGATCTTCGAGGCTCAGAAAACAAAGCGTTCCCAGGACCTTGAAAATGTTTTAGACCAAAGAACAAAAACCTTTGCTCTAAAATACCAGAAAAGAAAACTTCGTCTTAGAAATTGATCGGGTTGGATGACATGTTTAAAACCGGTGTCACCATATCAAGGAGGCAAGACGGCGTCTGATGCTGCCAGGGCCGGGCCGACTTCCCGGCCTGCTCAGCCCCAGGCCCTGACGGACCCCTCTGCGGAATGACTCTGGGTCCTGCAGAACGACCTTGCCCTTGAGTTGCCAGCGGCTGCCTGGTGGGGATGGATGGAGGGTTGGGCCTCGTTCCCCGAGGGAAGGGGCGGGTGCATTTGAACCCCAGGACCTCGCCCTGGATCCAGGGAGGAAGGGCACAGCCTGGGGAGCTGAGGGGACCTGGGGAAGCTCCCAGCCGACAGGACAGTGATGTCACCCGGAGACCGGGTGCTGCCAGCGGGAACTGCAGCCATCTCTCTCATGGAGGTCCTGTGCTTTGGTGCCCGTCAGGGCCCAGTGAGGATGCAGAAATCCGCCAAGCCGTTTCGCTGGCAGGGCTAAGGGACCAGTGAGGACCACGGAGTGAGGCAGAGGCTCTTCCCACAGAGGGGAACTCAGAGCAGCAGGAACCGCGATCCCCCAGCCTACAGGTGTGGGAGGAGAGGTCGCCCGTGCAGGGACACAGCCAGGCCAATGACGTTGGGGGACGGAGACCCCAACCTCTCCCTTCCTGACCTCTGACCTCCTGCAGGTGCCACAGGGCTGAATCTGACCCAGAAGCCGGTGGCCAGTACCCCAGTCACAGCACAGGTGGGAGGGCAGCTCCCCAGCCAGGGCCAGCCACCTGGGTGGCTGCGGGTCAGGACGTGGACAGGTTGAGCCACGTCTACGGTCCGGGGAAAGACACTGGGGTCTATGGGTTCCTCCCTGCTGGATCCTGAGGGGCTGTCTCTGAGGGATACAAAGCTGTGCCCACAGGCCCTGGCGTCCTCCAAGAGCTTCTGCTGTTCGGAGGTTCCCACATCCAAACAGGACCACACGCCCTGCCCTGGAGCCCCAGCACCCCCACTCCGTCCCGTGAGGAGCACATCCATGGCCCAGGACCACGGAGCCCCCCACCCCCACCACCAGGCCCCAACAGGGCTGGGCCAGAGGCCAAGGTGGAACCAGAATCCTGAGGACCCACAAGGCGGCAGGGTCCCTTCCCCAGACTGCAGGCAGGAGCCCCTCACCCTTGACCCCTCTGAGGACCTCCTGCTCCCAGCAATTCTGCAGCTAAAATGCTGCCTGGTCAACACCCTCCCATGACTCCTTCCCTGGCTCTGTGCTAACGAGGGGGGCGTCCAGAGCCGGCAGGGGGGCGTCCAGAGCCGGCAGGGGG